GTTAATTTGTATTTTTGAGGGGGAAACTTTTTGCAAAGAATTTTAACTCGAGGTCTAGGGGGTACCTATACGTCGCGTCGTATACGAAAAATTGTAGGTGAGGGTGAAGGGTGAAACCATAGATAAGGGTGGAGCTCACCCCCCCTAGGGGATGGTAGCAATGGATTGGAGTGATAGGGTTGAAAATACGCACAAAAGTGTTCCCCGCGATAGAAAAATTGACGATAACATATCGATACGGCTGGAAATCTCTAATTACCGGAAGGCGGTCTTCATTGACAACAACGTGTGGTTTTTGCTTTAAAAACTGAAACTCCACGTAAAATTAAATTTTTGAGGTTAATTACACTCTGGCTCTGGCACGTACATGCCACAATTTGAACAGCTCCATTGAGGTATAGAAGCAAGGAAAATACACATTACTACTACTGTACTACAGGACATAGAGCTAAAGGATGGCCTATCCTCATAGGCCAGTGTATAACAAATCCCCCACCTCTTCCCCCACCTTACGCCAAACTACCAGTTGTGACGTAGGCAGCATGTTATTTCTCGCCTTGACGTAGGCTCTTTAAACAGCTGACGATTTAGTTATGGAGTCGGAAATGGTGACACACCAATATGGCGACGATTACCAAAAACGAGGCTGATAAGCAATCCTGTAGGTGTGTATATTCCTTGCAGCTAAGGACTCAATTATGACGTCGAAATGGTAACACACCAATATGGCGTCGATTACCAAAAACGAGGCTGATAAGCAATCCTGTAGGTGTGTATCATCCTTGGTACAGAAACGCCTTCTACAACTCAACTGTCAATATTACATTCCGTCCTATAACGTGTGAGCTGTGAACTAATATTAGGCGAGTTCAGGTAATCCTTCGCTAGTTAAAAGATGACATCATTGACGGAAGCTCATGTGAGCTCCCATTTGAAGTCATAGAAGATCAAGAACGATAAACCATAAGACGATAGTCACTTTTCGTAAGCGCCACGTTCGCCAATTTAGCCGACCGCATAGGTTAATGACCAGACGCGTGACGTACTCCGGCCCACCGATCCAAAGATTTGGTATTAGTTACATTGCTCGACATTCCTCTGTAATGAAAATTCGACAAGTTTAATATAAAACTTGTCGAAATTTATTGCATTAAAAGCCTATTTTGGCATTGGCACATCATTAAATGGCTAAACCCAAGGTTGTTTGAGAGAGGCCGGTTGCCTGACAGCTTCATGACGTCATCCGGGGTGCCTTAACACAATGCAAATCTCCATAGGGCTCCCCAGACGCGTCATTAGGCCACCCATCACAAGGCAACCCATAAACCTCAGGAACCTTGGGTTAAACCATAATATCCTCCTATAGCAATAACAATAACGCATAAAACTTGTTTCGAGTGAGCCAGGTGACGTCCCTAGAGCAGCGCGTGCCGTGGCCCCACTAAACTGGCGGAAAAATATCACCGATGTAACCATTCTCTGTGGTTTATCGTTCTTGATTAAAGATCACCTGAGCTCTATCCAAGGCTCCTAAAGTTGATAGGTTGTCCGGCAATGGGCAACCTGACAACGCATCTGGGGTGCCCTATGGAGATTTACATTATGTTGAAGCATCTTAAATGACGTCATGCAGCCATCCAGGCAACCTGCCTCTCTCAATAATAACCTTGAGGTCTATCGTCTTTTTGCTCGCGCACAGGGTTGCCAGACGTCCCACCTTAGGAGGGACAGTCCCGCATTTTGTTAATCGGTCCCGCCTTTTTTTTATTAATTTCAGGTCCCGCTTTTCGCGTGAATTGTCCCGGTTTTCCCGCTTTTTCCACCCAATCTTCACATTTAGTGCAAAAAACACGCTCATTTTATAACTTGTTACATAAATAGCTATTTCTACATTTGAAATCGACGCAAAAATCAAATAACGAGCCTGAATCGCAAGCATTTCATCGAGGTCTGCGATTGACGTCTCCACTATTAGCTTCTGACGTGGTGACGTCACTCGCAGACCTTCTGGACTCGAGAACTGGCGAACGTACGCCTTCTCAGGATGAGCAATCCTGTTAGTTCACGATTCTTGGGTTTTAACAAAAAATTTTGATAATAAATGTTGCATGTTGTAGGTATAAAAATGTCAAAAATTCCAACAAAATCCTATTCTTTCATTGCACAAACTAGCATCTGGCACTTGCCCCCCCCCCCCCCCCTCCTTATGCTTTTGGGCGTGGCACCCGAAAAAAACGATTCGCTTGCGGCGAGCTTTCCCTCTGGATAAGAAAAATCCCGCTTTTTCATTTCATAGATCTGGAAACCCTGCTCGTGCAGGATTAACCGAATTCACCTATTCTATAAACGCGATGACGCGTTACCAACCGAACGTGCGCGCGCACGCGTATTTGTAATTTCTGGAGCCCTATTTGAAATCATTAGCCGCTTTCCAGCTGGCGCTTTTGAGCACGCAATCGAGCTTTTGCGCGCGCAAATGCTTCAAGCGCATGTTCGTGATCCAGCCGTACTGCGCTTCGAGAGATGCTAACTTTTGCGTTTCAAACACAGAACACTGTGCTGCACCGTGCTTGAAGCACACAGCTGGAAAGCGGCTATTGTGGATGTGCCTCTGGTCCCTCTTGCGAATTTTCCGCTTACAGTGCCGTATCTTTATGCCATTTTGATAACGGGTCTTCAAAAAAAAAACTAAATCAGAGAGTGCTTTGATTACAAAAACATATAGTCTGTCGATTTTAATCTGATACTCCAAAGGAATGTGAGCTAGTAGCTTCCTACATTACATGAGAACGCCAATGGTTACTTGACGCTTGTTTTTGCCTTATGAAACATCTCCTCGCTCCTCATACGGAAAGTGTCAGAATAAAAACGACGGACTTTACGTCGCATTATTATTTCTTTATTGGTCGAGATTTTTGACCAAGTTTTCGACATTACAAAATGCAATGACAAAATTGAAGAAAAATATTGCTGAGACATACGTTTAAAAAACCCGAGAAAAAACCATAGCCATCTCTGATTTTTTTCTTTGAAGACCCATTACAATTGACACAAGATTAATTTCTTCTATCATAATAAAAATTCCAGAAAAATTCAAAAATATTGTTTTAAAAATATTTTGTCATTTTTCAAATTGACAGTAATTTATTTTACTAATGAAATAAAGTGCACTTTAATGTACTAGTAGGTACCTTCTATATAAAAACTACTTATAAAATCAAGTTAGAAATGATGTTAGGGGTTTTAGTAATTTTGATAAATGTTTGTAATTTCAGTAATTTTAGTAAATGTGTGTAATTTTTTTGTAATTTCAGTAATTTTAGTAAATGTATGTGTAATTTTTTAGGAAGTATTGGTAATTCTGGTAAATGTGTGTAATTTTCGGTAATTTTGTAAATATCATTAAATATTTTGTAATTTTTTGTAAATATTATTTTGGTGTACACGATTGTTCGGAGTGGTTACCCCCTCGGAGAAAACAGAGGAAGAAAAAATGCTGCCAAAGGCTGGGTTTACCAAAACTGTGGAAGAATGTGCGTCTCCCAGAAGGTTTATGAAGCTCATCAGAAAACGCATCGGAAAGGAAAATAGGTTGATTAAGGAACTGAAATTACATTATTTGCAGTCACTAGCTACATAAGGTTTATATTTTTTATACTTGCCTAGTTTTTTGTTTTGTTTTTTTTTCCTATCTTGTTATTACTGCAACAATTTAGTATACACTTACTTAACGCGTTGCCTAAATAGGCAAGAAACCTTGAGACTAGTGCGTTCAGCACTGATTGAAGGAGTAATTTATATTGAAACTGTAAACTTATCTTGTTCAATGAGGAATTTCCAAAAAAAAAGTTTTGAAGTTCAAATAGGATGAACATGATGGTCTCTAGCTCAGGCGTTGGAAGTGGGTACTCCAAAGGGTCAGACTGATGGGTTCAAAAAGTCGTAGAGAAGGCAATCAATCTTGTGAAGAAAACCCGAAAAAAAAAAACAAACACCCAAAAGATGTAATGTTAGAGGAGCATACAATCCACCATAGGAAGCTAGGTAATGCTGCCATAAACTTCGGACAGTTTTTCCCAACCAAAGTAGGCTTAAGGAGGATAATGAATTTTACCTCAAAATTTCGGTACAAGAAACTTATCCATGATTCATAAAAATTGGCATACTTGTCTTATTAACTAAAAAGAACACGAAATTAGCAGATTCCTGTGAAACCTCTGCATACTTATTAACTGTGCTTAAATAGTTAAAACAGCCCCTATGATCGTAATAAAGATATCGGTGCTTTCCTATGAAGCTGGATAAAGAATGGTCTTGAATTTAGTTACGGAACTAAAATCCTCTATTCTATACACAGAACAAGCACTACTATTGCAAGAAATCAAGGATATTAGACGATCCAGCGTAGATAGGTAGAATGAGAGTCGTAATGTCCACAAACATCTTTCAAGACATCTTAAAGACGTTGTTAGTTGAAAAACCCAATGTCTTCAAGACATTTTAACCCACTTTCCAGTACATTTTTAAAACATGTTTAACCGGATCTTTGAAGAGGCTTCAACAAAATGTTGACCTGATGTGGGCTCTCAATTTAAATTTCTTTTTAATGCGAGAACAATTCTTTATACTTGACATCCTACTGGGTCATCATACCGTGTCTCTTCCTATTTAAGGTTACCAATTACCTATTTTAAATTTGCTGTATAGATAAGTCATAATTGCTCAGTTGGAAGACCTGTAGAAGGTAACCATATAAGTACTTCAAGACATTTTTATTAAACCTAGAATGTGGTGCTCGACATCGCCTTTCTGTGGTCTGTGGGTGAACAACATACAAGATGACTGTATATTAATGGCATATAGGTACTGATCCCAAATTCAGAGATCAGTATAGAAACACCCAACAACAGCTGGTGAGTTCTAATAAACCTGGGAAAGCCAAAAATCTAGGTGAATCAACCCCATAGGATTAGAGCAATGAGCAGAGGCATAAGGGATACAAAAATTATACCATATTTTTTAAATAAAGAAACGATAGGGTGCATGTGGTATTGGTTTATTTTTTATTAGTAGGTAGGATATCTGAAACAATAAAAACCTCTATACCTATAATGTCCAATTTTGATAGGTGAGAGCATTTTTTTTTTTTTTTTTAATCAAATGCTGGGACCTTCGAAGAGTCGTAAAGGTACTTGGACACTTTATCGTTTATATCGCAAACTAAACCTTTGACTAAACATATTGAGAAACTTCATGCAAATCTATATATACAATAGGTGATAACTATAATACTTTATCAAAAAAAATCACTTAAATGACTCAAATTGATTCAACTTCCTCATGATATATTGGAAGAATCCCAAAATAGCAAATGAGAAGCTCAATGGAAACCAGCCAGCTTTAATCCATGCCCAGAATGTTACCCTAAAAAAAGCATTCTCTGAATTAAAATTACCTAGAGTATAGTGTAGTGTGTAGTTACTCATAGTTTTTGTGATCGTCATAAAAAGGAGTAAACTTAATTTCTCCACATTTAGAGATTTGTACATCTTTCAATATCCTGTCGTTATAGTCCGTCTTCAGATACTCTATTTTATGTACCACATTGTGACCTCTTAGTACCTAAAATACAGAGACACAAAAAAAAAAATTCTGCATAGTTTTCAACTTTTTGTTCTACCAAAAGCTATAAGAAACCTAAATACTCTACTTCAAATTTAGGTAATAATAATAATAATTTTACCTTTCCAAATATAACATTTTTTCCATTCAACCAAGGTGTTGGCATTGTTGTTATAAGGAACATGCAGCCATTTGAATTAGGAACTAAAATCAATTTATTTTGAATCCAGTTTTAACAATGCTATCTTAATATATTACCTCCTGGATTTACCATTGCAAGTAAGCCAGTTGATTCATGCTGAATTTCAAAAGTTTCATCTTCGAAATATTCACCATAAATGCTCAAGTATCCACTACCGTTGTTATGTTGAATATCTCCAGCTGAAATGACAAAAACATTTCAAGGTTTGATGATACAAAGTGACTTTTTCCTCACCTAATATCATTACTTTCTTTACGGCTACTAGAAAATTAGTTCCAGCATAACTTTTACCATCAATGCCATGAAGAGCGATGTGTTTGAAGTTTTTCACTGTTTTTGGAGCGACTTCTCCAAATAATCCATAAATAATTCTACCGACGGGAGTTCCATCGATTTTGATGTCCATATAAATTTGATCGGTTATTTTATAACTTTCAGATTTTGCCTGGAGAAATTCAACCCAATTTTTTTTACTGCTGAAAATTTAAATAAAAACTTACCTGATTCGCTGCAACTAATATCAGTAGCCAAACATAACAGTTGAGTAAATAAAACATTTTTTCTGCTAATAATTGCGACTTTTATGAAAGAACTGATGTTCCATTGATTTCCATGGCTTTGTTATTATGTAAGTTAATCCAATTTAGACCTACGTATGTAGATTTTCAAGTTCGACGCATCAGTGATGGTAGGTAATTAGATTCCTATAGGTAGTTTCAAATTTTCTGACACACGTGAAATTAATTATAAAGGGACACGATATAAATTCTTAGCTGTTTGTATGGTTGGCGATATAAATCTTGATAACGTTTTTGTAATTCAGCTTATAGGTAGATAGGTAATTGCTAGATTATTGAGGTAGCAGTACTGAATCTATTAGCTTTATTTGCTATCAATATTGTCAACAAGCAAAGCTACTTAGGAAAATATGACACTGTATATGATTGATCGGCTTATTGATTGGCGAGTCAGCGATAAACGAATATAAATAGTGGTCGGCAACACATGGATAGGCAGACTTGAATCAGCGCAATAACCTTTTTTTGGGAAACTCCTCTGGCCTCAAGTCTCCACACAGTGCAATACCTCTTTTGGGAAAGCCCCTCTGGACGGCTCTTTATTTTAACGAATCGCACCTACCTAACGTAGCTATGCGTTTTTGAGGTAGCTCCCCTGTGCCCCTATAAAAGAAGCACTATGTACCATAGGGCTATCCTTTGGTGATAACTATCATAACCTCTACTCTACAATATACCTTAAACTAAATACCAAGCGAAACTCTATTCTTCTGACCTTACCCTACGTACCTCGTCACGACAGGATGAGGTTGTGACAATATCCTGCGTCTTTATTCTATTGAGGGGTTACGAAGATCGCATCTTTGTCAAGCTGGTCTAATCGCCTAATTTGAAGTATTTACATTGTCAATATGAGTAGATAGAGATACCTATTCTTTTTCAATATTATTTATAAATATAATAATTATGGAGTGTATCATCATCATTATAATGATCCATAGCCGTTTTCTAATTTGTGAGTTTAGGACTATCTCATGGATTTTTATTTCATTCTGTTTTGAACTACCTGGTATGGCTGTGTATTTTATATTGTCGTACCTCCTTTGGTGTTTCCACTTGTCTTTACTGAACACAGGGTGACCATCATCTAATCAGCTCATGGCTCCATTGTTCGTGATATTTGGCTACATATGATACTGAGGCACTTCCATTTCCACGAAAACTTTTTGTGCAGAAACCTGTACCTTTGTCCTGCTTCTTATCCAATAATTTGCCTGCCTACCACAAAACAGAAAGTAATCCAAGTATTGAAGTTATTGTGAGATGTGCGGAACTTGTGAAAAGTGAAGTATTATTGCCTTCAACACAATGATTTTTGCAATATAGCTTTGATAAGGTCCTTTAACAATAACGGTCTGCTTTTAATTTTGAATCCTTTCAAGAGCATCTACATCCCATGGAGTTTAAAACACTATTGATGAATAAAAATGCAGGAATTGTTTAAATATTCTGTAGTTTTCAAGAAAGTGTAGAGGTTGGTATCGGTTTGATAGCTGAAGGCACTTGAGCGTGGGAACTCTTTCGTTACCCTGGGAAAATCTCTAGATCGGTTGACTTTGATCTGAAATTTTGGGAATTTGACCCGGGCCAACCGTGGAAACTTTTTCGATACCGTGGGAAAATCGGCGCCTTTGATCTGAAATTTTGGAAATATGACCCGGGCCAACCCAACTTGAGTCAAAAAGTGCTCAGGAGCTTTACGGAAGAGGGTTCACAGTGGAGGTGGGTAGTGGTATGATGGCTCTGCTGGAGAGGAGTTTTACGTGGTAGAGGTAGGTATGTGATCTGATAGCTGTGAAAACACTCTACTCTGCTTTTAAATTAGAACTTTGAACAGATCTACATATCCTGATTGATGAGTAATCATATTTTTAACTTCGATCAGAAAGAAAGGATTCAGGAATAAAACAACCAAATTTATATGTGATAAATATATTTCATGATTAAACAGAATCAAACTGGCTCTCGTGATTTTTACATATCTTCAACCAGTTAAAAATATTTGTACATTACCCAGAACGGAACATAACAGTTTTTTATTTTTAATAATATTTAGTTATAATGTAGGTACATTATTACCTATTTTAGGGTTGCCATATCTATCAGTATACTAGATACAGTCATAAATGTTCGATTGTAGGAGTTGCTTTGCAAAAAAAAAAAAAAATTGTCGATGACGAGGACACTTTGTACTGGGGAGATTCAAGCGACAGAAGAAAAATTAAAATCGTAACTTTAATAATAAAAACCAGTCTCATAATGACAACTATTTACACTTAACTTCGATTTTGACCATGCTAAACAAACTGGACAACATCTAGTAACAGTATAGTGATCCTAAATACTATTATTTACAGGAGTAAAGCTAAATACTGGCAACGCCATCATTTTAAAAAATAATAATAATAATTTAACACAGCAACCAGGAAGTAATATGATTTGTTAATTTTTATAAATGCAAATGTATAATATAAAAATTCAAAAATCACATAAGAAATATAAGAAAACAATTTTTTTTTTAATTTTTTTTATAATTTACAATATTTTGTTTCTATTATTATTATTATTATTATTATTATTATATAATACAAACTGTAGTGTGCACCTAAACAGTATTTTTTTTATTATTTATTTATTTAATTAATATTTCTAAATTACACAGCTTTATATACGTAAATTATAATATATAGTTTGATATATCACAGTATGCATTGCCCCAATCGTATTATTTTTTTTGACAAGGAAATTATAAATATGATTTTGAGGTATTCTTTTTTTTTTTAAAGAAAAATCTCTCCATAATTGAAATTACATATTTTCAATATTAAATACTTTGATTATTTTTTTCAATATGGAGTCTTGTTTTAGGATATGTTTTAATAATGCTCTATTTTTTTTTAGAGGTGAGATCATAGTACGAATACCAAAAATCATAAAACCAATTTTATGGAATGTAAAAATAAGTGCCCGAAAATTGGTACTAATAAGTACCTAATGAAAAAATGCAAATACAATTTTCCACTCTACCTAATTACTTTCTCTAAGATTTCATCAAAAAATGCTAATTATTATATTTCCTTGCCGTGATAAAGACTAGTCGAACATCATAGGAACAAAGTCCCCTTTTGATCCAGCGCAAACTGGAGCCGTCGAGATCCAGTCTCAAGCGGCCAGTCCTTCTCTGGAAGCGGACAAAAGGTCTTCGCGAGGGGCTTCTGCGGCTTTTCGCTCGAAATGCAAATCCCACAGTCCCGGCCTGGGTTCGGGTTCGCTGGGCGGTCGATCCGGAGCCCGTTCAGGCGAATTCGGTTGAGGACGAACGCTTTCTGGCGGAGGGTAGCCGAAACCCAGCAAACCTCCATACTTCGCCGAGGGTGCGAGACCGTTTTGCGTTGGGCCCACTGACGACATCTCGTTTAACTGGAAGGAAATAGGGGTTGTTATTGATTTTATTTATTGAGTGATGAATTTTGGAATAGAATTTCGAGTGATCGCGATGGTTATAGAAACCTACAATCGTAGGTTTATTGATGTTTGCCATATTGATCAGAGCCCTTATAGCGATTGGTAATTTTGCAACGGTGAGTCGCTCATGAACAAGAGGCTATCACATTTTTGGACGTCCAGATTTCTCTGGACAGACCCGCATATGCCTATATGTCTATAAGACCTGGTAACCCGAACATGTATGGTATCTACACGTCAAGAAGTGTTCTATAGAACATAAAAGGCTTCACAGGAAGAATAAGAGAGCGCACCTATCTTAATCCGCGACCAAGAGAAAAGAAATGGTTGAATCTAGTTGCAGAAACAAGAAGAATGCCATCGAACACCGCATTCCAACACTAGTCAGTCGTTTCAGCTAAAAAGGGCCAGTTTATTTCGCTCTGGATCCTGAAAAACGACTCGTGACGACCATCTAGGACCATAGCGTAAACGAATGAGTGGGTTGAGAGATTCAAGAAAGAAGACCGTGACTCATAGTTCAGAGATAATCCATGTCCAAAGGAATCACACCAGATTAGTCTCTACAAATAGATTCAAGTGCAGAGAGGTTTCGAAGGCACTTTCTGGGAAGAAATAGGGAGATGCGATTTTCCAGAAGAAGAGATTTATTGTCATACTGTCAACTGCTTAAGTAAATACCACTCTGTATATCAATTTTATTATAAAGTGTGTCGACGAGTCAGAATTAATTTGGTATACACACCGCGCCGAGATCCATCACCGGCAGACTAAGACTAGTGAAAAGTACCTCACTTGGGAAAAGCCCCTGTAGCTAAGTCTCCTCCCAGGGCAAACTATCTTTAATGGGAAACGCCCTTCTGGACCTGTCTCTACTAGTGTACATAGTGTACATAATGTAAATAATACAGAGTGGTCCAAGTATACGTCCCTCCGTAGAAGAGACGTCATGGTATTATTCCTAGGGTAATATTATTCTATATAGGTATTCAATACATATCTTAGTGTACCTATACCATGCAAGTTTCGATGTACCTGAACCCCACCTATGTCTCCAGGTTACGCTCCTGCTGTGACGTTCCAAGACGAAGCGTATAAGGGTTGTGACATATTTGGTGGAGGTGTCGTTTCGACACCCAGGCACCAGGACCCAGAAACAGCGGTACAAAAGAAATAACGCAGTCTTATATAATAAATCTTGACGACACCATATTGGAAAAAAAAACCCAGGACACTAAAGAAAATATATATAATAATAAACAAATTTTAGGGACCCAGATAATTAGAAGCAGATACGCTTACGCTGACGACGAATTATTTATGAAACCCAAGTGCCACTAATAAGCACTGCAACCGAAAAAAAAAAACAAACGGCGACGCAAAGCAGAACTAGAAGATTCTGGATATAGTGCCGAAAGCGCCTCGAATTATACCATTCCTTGTTGTTTTTCCCCTTTCGACGGACATACTAAAAATCAGGGAAAAGGCTCTCTTAATAGCATCGATAGCAGTGGAAAATATAGATAATTGGACTTTAAGCTGGAGACAAAGTTGAGGTGTTTATGCCAATGAGAAAGGTTGGAAGAAGTGAAAAGTTACTTTTGAGATGGTTTAGACCATATAAGGTAGAGTCAGATGGGGTATATGTAAATAGGGGTAAATTTAAACGGATTTAGTTTTATGGTATCACGAGAGTTTATGCGCACAATGGCAACACTGGTGCGATTTGGCGCCATTTTTCTACGTGCATGTTGATGCAGATTGTCCATTTCTTTGAGGGTCATGGTATTTTTAATGGCTGCCAGTTTGGTGGGATACTTCCATGGGCAGTCTGCATCTGGTCCAAGGTTTATTGGACACTTTCCATAACTATCAATACAACACGGTCTTGTTCTGCGATTTGAGTGAGGCCTTCGACTGTGTGGATCATGGAATTATCCAGGAGAAAATGAGATATTACAACTTTTGCCCCAACAGTATTAACTTTTTGCAGTCATACCTCAAACGTAGGTGCCAGTGTGTGCGTTATACTGGTGTGACATCGGCAAAGAGAAAATAATCATCTACATTAATGTCTTGCCATTTATAGACCAACAATCAAAGTACACTCTCTTTGCCGATGACGCAATTGTATCCGTATCTGCTGATACATTAGAGGATTCTCTGGAGGGTTCCATGGTTGCACAGGAGTTGGCCCAGGGCTAGTTTAACTCTAATAAACTGCTCTTGATCTTAAGCTGAAATGAAGCACAATAATCTCGAGGTTGACTAGTGATCTTTTTCTTGCCAGAAAGCTTGCTGATAGGGTATCGCAACAGGTATTGATAACAGCCTACTTCGCAACTTTCCATGCGCACTTCTCTTATGCAATCATTGCCTGGGGCCATGCAGCTGATGCTCGACGTGTCTTTGGCATGCAAAGGAACACAGTTAGGATGTTGAGTGGTTTCGGATTCAAGGAGGAATGTAGGGTGGCCTTTGAGGGGCTGGGCGGACTGACCGTTCCTTTTGTCTGCATTTTGGAGAACCTTCTTTATGTTAGGAAAAATCCTGATGTCTTTATCATGCATGACTATTAGACCAGGGGCAGGGATGCTCTGGTGTCAGTGCACTGGCGTCTGGGAAGGTGTCACGATGGTCCGGGTTACTGGGCTATTAAATTATTTAACAAACTGCCAGCTTTAATTAGATGCTTGCCATTTTTAACTTTTTAAAAAACAATCAAACAGATCTTGATGAGGAACAGTTTCTATTCTTTAGAGGAATTTTTCCACTTTGATTTTAATGTGTAATTAATAATGAAGTACTTAACCTATGTTTCTTTAGTCTGTATGCTTGAGATTTATACTGTGCAGAATGGCAGAATGGATTCCAAAGACCCATTCGTAATATAATACGAGTTACGAAGAAATAGTGCAGCTCTATAAAGACAACAACTTGGACGATAAACCATCATTTGTGTTCCACTGTGACGAAAGTGGATTTTGTCATGATCCAACCAAATGTAAAGGACTTGGGGAGAGAGGGAAAGCCTTATCCAGGGTATCAGGGGGATCTGGCAGATGGATGTTACCTCCCACTACTGATTGTGTTGAAAGGGGTTGGTATTCAAGCCAGATGGATATCTGAGGGAGCATTTCCAGGAACAAGGTAGGTTTATACCTGCCTTATTTAATATCTCATTTTCACTGACCTGTCTTTTTACAGATATACCTGCTCCAGCAATGGATGAATGGAAGAACCGCAGTTCTTTGAGTGGTTTTCCTCTGTTTTTGTTCCCTGGGTAATTTCTTTGTGAGTTTCCCAATCAAACCGCTGTTCTATTTTTTGATGGACATACTAGCCATATCAGCATTAGAATAGTTGAAACTGCTATAGCTCATTCAGTAAAGTCATCTAACTGACAAAATACAACCGCTAGACAAGTGTGTTTTTGGTTCCATAAAAAAGTTTTGGGCAGCAAAACTGGAATCGGCGCGCCACTCTACATCAATTTTATTAAAGTTCGTCGACGAGTCAGCATTAATTTGGTATAAATACCGCACCGTGATCCATTAGCGGCAGACTAAGGCTAGTGAAAAGTACCTCAATTATGGGAAAAGCCCCTCTAGCTAAGTCTCCTCCCAGTGCAAACTACCTTTATTGGGAAACGCCCTCCTGGAGTATTGTATTGAACGCAGCAGTCTAGATCCAGTGTAAACTACCTTTATCGGGAAACACCCTTCTGGACCTGTCTCAAACCCAGCTTCAGTCTTCAGTCACACCAAGTGTACAGAGTGTACATAATACAGAGTGGCCCAAGTAGTACGTCCCTTCGTAGAAGAGACGTCATGGTATTATTCCAGGTAGTAGAAAGGATAATAAAGACACGGTCTACGTCAGTAGGATGCTGCCCTAAAATGACCCGTGGACAGAAGGTGCATCTATCGAAGAGTATAGTGGAGATGAAGAAGACGAAGAAGAAGAAGTAAGAGAAGAGGAAGAAAAAAAGCGGTAGAAGATAGTGGCCAATGTACATTATAAAAATAGAGTTTAGGAGGGAGAAAAACAAAGCTTAGTATTAAATTTTTTCAAGATTTATCAGGACTTTTGGAGATACTGACTCATAGCGCCACAAGCCACTAGGTAGAAGTATCCGCCGGACAACCTGGAAACTTCTACCAGATACAATTTCATACGAAGGGTCAATCCCATTAACATACAGAGGACCCTGATGGCTTGAAGAGCCTTTCGAACCAACAATACTGGGAGGCGGGAAGTGTCAGGAATCAGGAGTTTCTCCCAGTGCAAACTACCTTTATTGGGAAACGCCCTTGTGGACCTGTCTCAAACCCAGCTTCAGTCTTTCACGCCAAGTGTACAGAGTGTACATAATACAGAGTGGCCCAAGTAGTACGTCCCTCCATAGGACAGACGTCATGGTATTATTCCTTTATTGGGAAAAGGCCTTCTGGGAGTATTGTATTGAACGCAGCAGTCTAGATCCAGTGCAAACTACCTTTATCGAGAAACGCACTTCTGGACCTGTCTCAAACCCAGCTTCAGTCTTCAATCACGCCAAGTGTACAGAGTGTACATAACGCAGAGTGGCCCAAGTAGTACGTCCCTCCGTAGAAGAGACGTCATGGTATTATTCCAGGTAGTAGAAAGGATGTACGGTCTACGTCAGTAGGATGCTGCCCTAAAATGACCCATGGACAGAAGGTGCACCTATCGAAGAGTAGGTATAGTGAAAATGAAGAAGACGAAGAGGAAGAAGTAAGAGAAGAGGAAGAAAAAGAGTAATAGAAGATAGTGGCCATATGTACATTATAAAAATAGAGTTTAGGAGGGAGAGAAACAAAGCTTGGTATTAAATTTTTTCAAGATTTATTAAACTCTCTTTCTTCCGGATTTTTGCTGATACTGACTTATAGTGCCACAGGCCAGGAGGTAGAAGTATCCGCCGGGCAACCTGGAAACTTCTACCAGCTACAATTTCATACAAAGGGTCAATCCCATTAACATACAGAGTACCCTGGCTTGAAGAGCCTTTGGAACCAACAATACTGGGAGGCAGAAAGTATCAGGAATCAGAGAAAGTAGAATGTAAGGTTTTCCCAGTGCAAACTATCTTAATTGGGAAACGCCCTTCTAGACCTGTCTCAAACCCAGCTTCAGTCTTCAGTCACGCCAAGTGTACATAATATAGAGTGGCCCAAGTAGTACGTCCTTCCATAGAACAGACGTCATGGTATTATTCCTAGGGTAATATTATTCTATATATTCAATACATATCTTATTGACCTATACCAAGCGAGTTTCTCTCTACCTGAACCCCACCTACGCCCCCAGGTCACGCTCTTGTTGTGACGTCCCAGGACGAAACGTATAGGGGTTGTGACAATGTATCACGAGAACTGGTGAAAGACATATAAAACGCTTGGGTAGATAAAATGTTCGCTAACATCCGAAGCACGAAATATTACTACAAACGTATCTTCAAAAAAGAGGCTCGATTCAAAATGTTGCTCAACTTTTGTCAAAAACTACCGAAAAATAGAAGAGAAATTGGTGTGGCTTTAACTCTAGTAGTTCAGAAACTATATTTTGATAATCGCTTTTAAAGTAATCGTTAAAATTAGTTAACGGAAGGTTATCAAAAGTATACTTACTTTTTGTTGCATGCCGTTAAGGAACGGAGCCGGGAGGTACGGGTAGAAGAGGTCGGGTCTCCGCTGCAGAAATTCGGAATCCTTGGGAGTCATGGGAATGGGCGGCAGGTCGAGCGACATGCGACGACCGCGTCGCGACGCCCCGTTGCTCCACATATGGGTACCCATGTGAACCTGAAAAGAAAATCCATTAAATATTTATATAAATAATGCAAATAGTCAACTTATGTTTGATTTGGATGTGTTACTGGTTTGTTAAATTCGTTTTAAGGCTGGTTAAGTGTAATAACTACAGAATACTTAGGGCAAGTTTCACCAAACAGAGGTAACCCACAATATATTTGCTTCATAATGTGTTGTTTAAGTTTGATAACCAGTGCAGGTTACCACCAATTTGCAATTAAATAAATATAGATATAGACAAGAAATGATGGTGGAGAAAGCTTTATTCTAAACTTGGAGCAACGAAATCCTATCAATGGCATCTCTTAGCATGGAGATAACTAAATGAAAAATGGAATCGATCAGCTCAAACCTATGACCCAACAGCTAGGTGAGTCATAGAGAGGACATGACTGAAGATGAATCTGTAGAACACCAGAACAATGGCAAACACGAAGTAAATGTAAAGTGTAAGTTATTGACTAAACTCTGGAGAAACATGATGATCATAATAAATTTCAGAATAGGAAATTAGATAACTGAAATATTTAAAAGAGAAGAGCGTTATTAGAATGTAAATTAAAATGGATGGATCCAATCCGCGTTTCAATCAATGAACACTTGAATGAAAAATTGGTCGAAGATCCCATAAATGGATTAATGGATGCATTGAGGACATACCTATCGCAAGAAAAAAGAGTCAAGCATGGAACACAACACTTCAATGAGAATTTTAAGGATTTGAACTCCGCGCAACAGGATGGTCTTAGATGAGAAGAAGCAAATTAGGAAATTATGTGGACTAGGAACAAGCAGAACAGAATTAAGCTCGGTGGAGTGAATTAGGAGACAACTATGTTGAAAATTGTACTCCAAATGGCTAAAGAAAAAGAAGAATGGTGCAGGGTTAACCGTTAACTAAACGTGAACAACTCATGGTGTATTGATGGCCATGTTAGGTAAACAACTAGTGCTTTACAGCTTTAACTAGACTACTATTCAATAACTAACTCTTGAAAATGAACGTCGTGAGACAATTTTAGAACCATACTTCTTCACAATGGCTGGATTTATTGTAAAACAAACGATCAGGGCGATCAGACTTATATGGCGAATATAAAGTAATAGGTATGTACCTATGCCTAGTTCAAATCTGCGGTTTCCTAAAATAACTCAGCAATAACCAACACTAACATTTACATGCCTTAACATTCCTAAGAATATTGTTCCTTTATTCGCCTAGCAAAAGGCTTGCTTTAAGAGTATGACTACGACACCTACAACACTAGATATCACAAAAAATCATGGTGATTTAAAACAAAATTGTTTTTTTACTACTAACCTGAGAAATAGTCATTATTCAATCTATTTTTCTAGGAAAAAATTGAATTTCTCTCCCTAGGTTAATAATGAAAATAATGAAAAAATACCTAGGTTAATAATGAAAATGACGTCATGACGCAAGGATATTGTCATGTTTCTATTGGTTCAATTTCAATTTCATACGTCAATTTGAAAAAAAAAATACAGGTTTCTGTAGGTACATAGGAAGTTATATAAGCTGTTGATAGAGGGCAGCACTTTCAAGAGGGCGTTCACAAAAAATAATTAGAACACAGATTTTAAACAAATTTTTTATTTTCTACTAGCAGTAGTAAAAAAAATTCTATATATTCCTCGGTAGAGAAAGTCATTATATACCTCAAGCTTTCGGTATATAATGACCAACTTCTCTACCTAGGTATATAATATACTATTTAATTGAAGGTTTTGGTAGAAACTCGAAGAATAAGTATCTTAATTCTAGTGTGGTGATCTAAGAAACCAGTAAATATATATTATAAAAAGAAAGTGTTAATATAGGTATGCGTTAGTAAGCTTCAAGCGGACAGGAAGTAAAATACATACCTTGAGGTTCCCTTTGGTGGTGAACGCCTTCTGGCACACGGTGCACCTGAACGGTTTATCGCCCGTGTGCGTTCGCATGTGAATCTGCAGGGCCGAACTCGACGAAAAGTTCTTATTGCACACGTGGCACAAGTGTTTACTTGATTGCAAGCCTGGAAAGACACACACCACACACATGTTAGCCCACAACCCTATAGCTTTTTGGGATCGGTAAAAGTTAGTGCAAGCGAAACGATGTTATAAGAAACGCCGCTGCATTATATTCTGTTCTTTTTTATTTACATGAGACTCGATGAAAATGGATTATGAAGATGTTTTGTTTATTTTCCAGCCCATTTGAGAAAAACATATTCAGTAGGTAGGTACAACCTTGCTATCTAGTATATAAATAACGGAACATCCTGTATAGTTTTACCAGAATAGACCTCTAGATTTTTGGTCTGTTTTTCACTCTTGACAAAACCCACAAAAGGTTAACAAGTTTTTGATTGTTCATAATAATTACCTACTGAATAGTGATTAGCAAAAATGCTGGAAACAACGCCACACCTAAATATTTTGATATGAAATATAGTTTAATAATCACAATAAATTATTATGAAAGCAGAGAAATGTTAATTAGTGTTCATTGTAACCTTGCTTGCTTGCTGGAATATTCTTTAAGTAGCTATAGACTCCAAATTTTGTAACATCCTTTAAAACAACAGATTTGTAAAACTTTACATAATGCATTTATAAATCATTGCCGCACAACTATGCAAATTAGAGGCTAAAACAAAACGAAATAATTTCCGTTCTCATTGCAAAATTAAATTAATTTATTGTGATTAAAAGTTGCACGGAAATATAACAACAAATTCGCCGGGGAAAGTTAAGTAATCATCGAAAATATATCTTCAGTAACGTAATTATTTTACTTCCCCCAACAATAATTATTTCAAAAGATACTCACTTGGAGGACGTTTTGGTAACGGCAACTCCGTCTCAGTAGGTTCCCGTTTAATTTGTGATTGTTCATGTTTGGGTTCTTGCAAGGGTTGCGTCATCGGTGGTAACTGATGAGGTGGAGGAACCGAGGGTGGCAGAGGTTGCAGCGGTGGTTGTTGATTCTGCTGATGAAGATGATTGGGAAGTTCCCCATCGCTGGAGAGTTCCCTTTGCGGTAAACTTGGAGGCAACGGTGTAGAATCGTCGCCGCTCAGCGACGGAGTCTTATTCTCAAACATGTGCTGTGGCATGTCGCGAATTTTATGAGTCAACATGTGCTGTTTCATGTTACCCTGAAACAATAAAAATATTTAATATTAAAAGTCTGCTTGTGTAGCAAAGAATATGAAGGTTTTCTTGATGTTGTATCTAAGTTGTCAGATACAACAAAAAGTTTTTAAAAGAGCTAAAAAGCAATTGTTTGCTGTAATAGCTCGATTAGTCAGTTCAATATCCTATTGCTACATTTTCTGGATTTTCTTGAATTTGGCTTACCGCCATCTGCATCCAAGTGGAGGCGTATCCGGGACTCATCGGTAAAGGGAAAACTGAGGGGATGTTGCGAGAAGATGGTTTTCTGGAACGAGCCCTCCAAGGCCTCGTATCCTCCTGGATACGCCTCTGCTTGTTGCATTCGCAACTATCCTGAAATTTACAGGGTTTAAATCAATTTTTTTTCCTGTGTATGGACAGGAGTGTGATTAGTAGCAAAGCGTATTTTATGGCAATAGGATATTTTGTTAAAATAAAGCCTAAGATGAATTTAATTCCTATATTATGCATCTGAAAAAAATTATAAAGTCCTTGCATCATAGTGTCAATGTAATGTAATAGAATCTAACTTGGAATACTGCTTTATTCGGGCAAAAATATCATCATCGCGTTTATTCTGGATTCTACACGAATAGATTGCGGATATATAAGGGCCGGTATTAGTTAGTAGTTTTTAAGTTTAAGATTGACTGTGATATATGATTTAGATAGTGATTATTATTAGAAGTTGTGTATTAAGACAAGAAGTTTAGAACCAAGTTCAAGCCCTCGAAGATAAGATGAATAAATTACAAATACAGTACATCAATCCGGGTAGTGTTGCAGCATTATTTTCTAGTATGAAGATAAAACCACCAACTTTTGACGGTTCTACGTCCTGGACCATGTATATCCGACAATTGGAAGCTGGTGCAAGTACCAACAGATGGAACGATCAAGAAAAAGCAACAGCACTGATAGTGGCGCTATGAGGACCTGCCTTGGATCTTCTTCAGTCCATTCCTTCAATCTATCAATAGAATTACCAGCATCTAAGTCAGACATTCGAATTGTGTTTCGGAGACCATTACAGACAAGAAGTATTTAGAACTAAAGAATTCGAAAACCCGGTGAGAGTTTACAAGACTTCGAATCGGAAGTTGAAAGGCTAGTGAATTTGGCGTTTCCTGCAACTGGGGAAGACATGCAGGAATGGATGGCAGTATCTGCGTGTATTGATGGTCTCAGAGATTCTAAGATCCAGGAAAAACTGAGAATGTCTAAGTAGCGAAGCCCTTGTCCGAGTACTGGAACTGGAAGCAATCTCTGTTGCCTGGCGACCCAGAATACAAACAGTATCCATTGAAGACCCAAAGGCTAAACATTCGCCAAAAGAAGATGGTAGCTTCAAGAATGTTATGAGTAAGTTCATGGGGAAAATGGAGAAACTATTACTAGAAAGTACACAACGGAAAACGACTCCAGACAAATACCAACACCGAGAAACCGAGTAAGATGTTACCGGTGTCATAAGCTTGAACATATGCAATGGGATTGTAGAGTAAGGATGTTTTCTCCATCTAGAGATCGTTGCCAACGCTCTTCAAGATCTAGAGACGCCAGCCCTAATACTAATACCATACAGGAACCACCAGTACGGAGGGGCGAATGCTGGTTAGTAATGATGAAGATCTTAGGGTTGTTGTTTACATAAAATCATTAGGCAGTCAATATAGAGGATCAAAATTCAAAGGACAAATTGATACGGGTGCTAAGTTTCTATACTTAGAAAAACATTGGTCAAGTCTCGGGCAATCGAACCACTCACTAGAAACCTGTCAGTACGAACAGTCATGGGCGAATCAGCACCATTTCAAGGAGAAGATATGATTGAGCTTATTTTTGGATCTACCACCTTCAGGCACAGAACATTAGTCGCCGATATAGAAGATGATTTTATTTTGGGAATGGATTTGATCGGCCAAAATTTGGTAATGAAGAATTTATCCTAACTACACAAGAAGAATCCCAAACCGTTAAGATCCTGGCCACAACCCCAGTGAGGATTCCTGGAAGTAGGCATGTAAGTTTGAAATTCCGGCCGCAAGTTCGACGTTTTTCGTTTGGATAGTAGAGTTACACACGCAGTTTTTGTGAAAGAAGATTGCTCGCTGTTCTTGCCAATTTGTTAATTTTTCAATAAAAAAATCATTTTTCTAGGCAAGTTTTTTCTATCGTTGATATGATATTATACCTATGCTTTAATTTTTCTTTTGAAACTGGTAGTACAAAAAGAATCTGTTGATCAGATTTTGGGCTATTTTGTCGAGCAAGTTTACTTTTGTAGGTTATGTATGAAGTTCACAGTTGAATTTAATTTTGTATTGTAGCTTGTGTTCCACCTTCAGACAGCATGTCTGGATAGTTATTTATTGGCAAAATCCATTGCACTACAATTGTCCTTAACCTAGACCAACACATTCGTATTTCATTTTACAAATGTCACTTACGAAAAGATGGTGAGGTATTTGAGTGCATCTTTAGATGTTGATTCAGACTAGTTTTATATTTAAATTTCGCATTACAAGTGTCAGCTTTAGATGTTTCTTCAAACTTTGTTTAAATCTAAATGTTGCTTCACAAGTGCCACATTGGAAAGGATGATCATCCTAGTGAGTTATTTCATGTTGCTTCAAATGACCGATTCGTTTAAATTTCGCATTACAAGTGCCACATTCGAAAGGATGATCATCCGAGTGCGTCTTTAATTGTTTGTTCAATTCGCTGATCCGATTAAATTTGGCATTACAAGTGTCACATTCGAAAGATTGATAATCCGAGTGAGTTTTCAAATGCTCGTTCCAATTGCCGATGAATTTGAATTGTGCTTTGCAAGTGTCACATTTATAGAGATAATCATCTACATGTTTAATGGAATATTTTCTCAATCCTTTTTTATTTTCAAATTTTGCATTACATTTGTAGCATTCAAAATCCTTATTTCTCTGTTGATGTATATATAAATGTTGTGAACTATTTTTGATTTTAGACTTGCTGGAGAAAATATTACAGTGTACAACTGGTATTGTTGGTGAATTGGATTCATCTAAATATTCCTCTTCCTTGACGTATGCCTTTTCATTTGGATCAATGACGGGATTTTCGCATATGTCTATTTCGTCTGTCCATTCATTTTTCATCATAAACGGCGCGTCAGCTCCCTGCTGACAAAGGCCTGATGGTCCAGGTTGATCAATGGCAATAATTCCAGGTTTACAGTCTTCTTCGCTATCATCTTCTTGCTTTACAATAGCATCAGCATACACAGTATCTGGCTCGTCCATCATTCGATCCTCATATTCGTCATCGGATTCCACAACAAACACGGTATCTGGGTCTTCCTTCACTTCACCCTCATCTTCGTTATCAGATTCCGGCGCAAACACGGTATCTGGGTCGTCATTAGGTTCATCCTCATCTTCTTCGTCAGATTCTGGGGTAATATTTATCAGCGCTTTTGCGGCAGCTGAGCGGCGCGGCCGTTTTGCGGGTGGCTCTTCAGCTTCCTCATCAATAGAAGAGTGTTGAGCAAGATCCAAATCAGGTTTTTCCTCAGTTTCTTCTTTGATGGAATTTTCTATGGGGTTGGCAATTGCCAGCGTCCCTTGTTAGGTAGTCATCTTATTGGCTTGCCTGGGCTAGCCAAGACGATAAAGTCTTCTCTGCATCTGGAGAAGTGTTCTGGAACTTATAAAACAGGTCCAACCTGTTCCAGCACATATCACATATTTTCTTGGGTAATTGGTTTTCTTTGGATATCTTAACTGGTAGACAGGCGTTAATTTCAAGAAATACTTTTTTATCGCTATGATCCTCGAAAATAGGAACATTCACTTGCTTATTATCTGTACAGAGTCTGCAAAGCAGCGCGATTTCACGAAAGCTAGCCATTTTCTCTCAGCCAGAATTGGAATTTTATCGGAGGCCAAAAGGAAAAAAACAGACACTCTTGATTCAAACCGAAAATAAATATGGTCTGTTTGGAAGACGAAGGGGAAATGCCAGCATGTCTATTCCATAATCGGACGCTGTCTGATTATGGAACACAATTCATGTTGTTAAAAAAGTGATTGTTTCTGTGGAAATTTAATTTTTATTCCAGAAAATATGGCTCGAGGACGTCATCGAAAAAGCACTAAAGGCCAATTTGATGAACAATCCATGAGAGCTGCACCGAAGAGAAGATATATTTAACACAAGCCGCTGAGAGATACAATTTAAAATTTTAAACGGTTTATGAAAATGTGAAAAGGCAAGTATGAAAATTTTTGTAGTGGTACTATAACCGTCCAAAAACCGAAAAAGATTGTTGTCCAGAAAGGGATCAAGAAGGTCTCTTCCGAACGAGGTTTACTTGAGTCCTTATTCTTGAAACTGGGGAACAGCGTTCCCAGGAGAACGAGTGTTTTGTCTCTGTTACTTATATTATCATTTGCATATCATTAAGAAAGACGGAACACTCGTTCTCCTGGGAACGTTGCTCCCCTTTTTCAAGAATAAGGACTCAGGTCACCACTTGCTGTGTTATATCCGCATCAGGGAATACAATACCACCTGTCATGGCTTATCCACGAAAAAAGTTTAATCCTTGAATGACTTATGGAGCACCGTCTGGTACTTTGGGATTGGTTTGCGATTCTGGATGGATGACGCGTGAATTGTTTCCAAGCGTTGTGAGGCACTTCATTAAACATACGTCCTGCACCAAAGAAAACCTTTCTAATTTTTGACAATCACGAGAGTCAAAACCAAAATTGATGAATGCTTCAAGAGGGAATTACTGAAGAGTCGAATAGTCCATGGTCTGCGCCATTAGTAGGTATTGCTCACAAAGAAAGATGGAAGTCTTAGATTTTGTGTGGACTACCGTAGGCTTAATGACGTCACCAAGAAGGACAGCTTGCCTCTTCCGAGGATAGACGATACATTAACAATTCTATTGGGCTCCAAATGGTTTTCCAGCTTGGATCTATAAAGTGGATACTAGCAAGTGGCAATACACAAAGAGGACAAAGAGAGAACTGCCTTCAGTACCAGAAGCGGATCATACCAGTTTAACGTAATGCCTTTCGGATTATGTAATGCTCCAGCTATGTTATGATCATGGGAAATTCCTTCCAAGAACATCTCAATAACCTGGAAGAAGTCTTTGACCGCTTCCGGAAAGCCAACTTAAAACTCAATACAAATAAATGTTTTTTATTTCAGAAGCCATCACTTTCATTGGAAAGAGACCCAGAGGCTTTTTTCATTATTAAGATAGTCTATGTGCTTTTTAATTATTTGAGTTTTGGAGCCGAAAAGAATCAAAATTTGACAACAGCGCTATCTTTGATCTCTTTTTAATAATCTTTTTCTTAATATTCCAGGCTCTTGATTACAAATAAAAACAAATTTCTATGCCCTACTTTATATCCGACTCTTTCTTACTTATAGTCTTTATGCCTGTGCCTATGTCGTCTATCACTATCTTATTTCAAGCCCATCATTGATTCACTCAGGCGCCGGGAATTCCCAAAAATTATATTATATAGTTTTATGCCCACTTTTCTCTATCTCTTTCTAACCTATTCAATTTCTGTATTGCTGTCACCCACTTTATTATTCCAAGCTCTTGATTGGTCAGACACATAAATTACAAGGACACTCAAGGCAAGTGCCAAAAATAATGAAAATTCGTCTCACAATGATTTTTACCTACTTTATATCCATCTCATTCTTTCTTGTTAAATTTCCCGCTTTATTAGTCCTTTGTACTCATTCTATTTTATCTTCATCTCTCTTTCACTCATTAAATTTCTAATACTTGTCATTTTCTTTCTCTTATTATTCCAGGTTTTTGATTTTTCAAACACAAAATTTATTAGCCTACGCAATTTATTAGCCTATTCAGAACTCAGACGAATTCGTGCTACAATTTTTGTATTCCACTCTATCTTCATTTCTTTCTTGTACGTTCAATTTCTTATATTCTTATCCCTTTCTTATTTCAAATCTTTCATTTGGCTGCAAAGGTACTCAAGCGCGTCAGGAATAATCAAAACTTGTTTTACAATTTTTTTCATCCTATTTAATCTCTATCTCTTTTTCTTTCATTCAATTTTTCAGATTGTCATGTTTCTCTTATTTCAGGCTTTCACTTGGATTGTTTTTTTCAGAAATTTTTCAAATCAGTTTCAACTGCCATTTCTGTCAAATTAGGAACTGAGTTATTTTCTTCTTTTCTATTGAAGAAAAATCTTGAATGTTAGAACAGTACAAAAAGGCCTCAGCCTCTCTGGCATCTCTTTCTTACCCATTGTGTTCTCTATGTTATCTCTCGCTCTCTTATTTAAAGTCTATGATTGAGTCACTTGAGCACCGAGAATACCGCTTCTTGTTTCCACTCCAAGAGCCGGGAATAATAAAAATTTTGAATCAAATTCATTCAGATGTCATTTTTGGACATTGCATTGACATTTGACAGTTGAAAAGTAGTAAAATGACAGCTGTCAAAATGAATAGAGAACTTTGCCAGAAAGTATAATCTGTCTTTTTTCGATTATTATGAATTGGAAAAGGACCAACAAAGATAGAAAAAAAAAAAAAAATAAAAATGACGCAATAATCGCTTCTGTTTTCCTGGCTCCTGAATTAGATTCGAGAGTCAAGAATAATCAAAATTTTGAATTTTTTAACGAATCAAATCCATTCAGACGCCATTTTCAGACATTGTGACATTGACATAATATAATTGAAAAACAACAAAATGGTTGACAAAATGCCGATTAGTCAAAATTTTGAATTTTTACACGAATCAAATCCATTCAGACGCCATTTCCAATCATTGTGACATTCACCTAATACAATTGAAAAGTAACACAATGGCTGACAGCTATCTAAATGAATGGACAACTCTGCCAGAAAGTATATCTGTCTCTTTTCGATTATTATGAATTGGAAAAGGACCAACAAAGATAGCAAACAAAAATAACGCAATAATGGCTTCCGTTTTTCTGGCTTCTGAATTAGATTCGAGAACCGAGAATAATCGAAATTTTGAATTTTTCAACAAATCAAATCCATTTAGACGCCATTCTCAGACATTGTCACATTGACATAATACAATTGAAAAACAACAAAATAGCTTACTAAAACTGTCTAAATGAATGGACAACTTTGCCAGAAAGTATATCTGTCTATTTTAGATTACTATGAATTGGAAAAGGAAGAACAAAGATAGCAAACAAAAATAACGCAATAATGGCTTCCGTTTTCCTGGCTCCTGAATTAGATTCAAGAGCCAATAATAATCAAAATTTTGAACTTTTCAAAGAATCAAATCCATCCAGACGCTATGTTCAAACATTATCACATTGACATAATACAATACAATTGAAAAACAACAAAATGGCTGACAAAACTGTCTAAATGAATGGACAACTTTGCCAGAAAGTATATCTGTCTCTTTTCGATTACTATGAATTGAAAAAGGACCAACAAAAATAGCAAACAAAAATAACGAAATATTCGCTTATGTTTTCCTGGCTCCTGAATTAGATTCAAGAACCGAGAATAATCTCAATTTTAAATTTTTCAACGAATCAAATCCATTCAGACGCCATTTCAGACATTGTGTCATTGACATAATACAATTGAAAAACAAAAGAATGGTTAACAAAACTGTCTAAATGAATGGACAACTTTGCCAGAAAGCATATCTGTCTCTTTTCGATTATGAATTGGAAAAGGACCAAAAAAGATAGCAAACAAAAATAACGCAATAATGGACTCCGTTTTTTTTGGCTCCTGAATTAGAGTCATCAACTGAGAATAATCAAAATTTTGAATTTTTCAACGAATCAAATCCAATTAGACGTCATTTCCAGATATTGTGACATTGACATAATACAATAATTGCCCAGGTGGCTAGTGGAAAACGTTTTTAGTCGTCATGGTGTGCCACTCAGAGATGTGCTACTAGAGTTACATGCAGATCAGGGACGAAATTTCGAATCTGCCATCTTTTGTGAGATCATGGGAATAAGACAAGGACAACACCTTCTCATCCACAGTCTGATGGCATCAATGGCATGGTAGAACGATTTAAAAAGACCATAGAGGAACATCTGACAAAAGTGGTCGCAAAGAACCAGCGAGATTGGGACAAACACTTGCCTCGATTTTTAATGGCTTACAGAGCAGCTGTTCACGAGTCAACAGGTGAAAGTCCAGCTAGAATCCTTTTTGGAAGGGAACTCAGGTTACCTTGCGATCTGATGTTGGGAATACTTGAAGAACAACAAAAAGACATTCGAGATTATGCCGATGAAGTAAGAACACGACTTTTGGGGATACATGATTTTGCTCGGGAGCATATTCAGCTGGCCAGTGACCGAATGAAGACCCGGCGGTCAATTCTTGAACATTCTCGCATACGTAAGTGGATTCGAATTCGAATGACAATAATGACAGTGACAGCAACGTCAATTGAATAGGAAGATTCGAAATCATATCAATTTTCGTATGCGAGGTAATTCAAGAAATGGGGGCCAGATACGACTTAAAAGCCAATTCAGCTGGATTTCAAGAAGGTGGATTTGGTGTAGCTGTATAATCCAACAAGAAAGAAAGGAGTGTCGCCAAAATAGTCTTCAGCATTGGAAGGACCCTACAGAATAATCAAGAGGATTAATGATTTGGTTGAGCGAGTTCAGCGCAACACCAGGAGTAAGATGAAAGTTGTACATTTGGACAGATTGAAGAAATACTATGGGCGCAAAGTTGATTGGGACGATCAACCTTAAGAGGAGGTCAGTGTGGCGCGTTCGCCAGCATATACAGAATCTAATTTGGAATTTAGAAAATACTGCTTTATTCGGGCAAGAAGATTATCGCGTTTATTCTGGATTCTTCACGAAAAGATTGCGGATATATAAAGGCCGGTAAGGGTTAGTAGTTTCTATCAACCTTAATTTTGGAATAACATGAAGGCTTGTCAAACGTTTCTATGAGCATGGGTCCAGAACCTTTCTCTTATCCAAGTATTTTCAGGCTTGAACTTTGATGACCAGAGAGGAATTAGGCACTGATGCACCATGCTCCCTTGCGAATGTGTGGGAGGCATAGTTAAATATAATAAAACATTTAAGAAAATAATTAGTCCACGAATAATTCTATGAAAACAAAAGGACCGCAAAGATAAATGAATAGGCTTGTTATGAATCTCATTTGTAATTATTACGGCAGTGAAGAATGCAGTTAATGCACCCAGTGACTATTTTCTGCTCAACGGGATGAATAATATTGCGTTTAAAAATAGGCCCAAAGTTCAAGAAAGCTGCTAGAAGAATGCGCCATTTAAATAGCGGAGGACTTTTTTTTTTATCAATCGAAAACGAACATACTGCAATAAATATTGAGTAATTGCCGACGAAAATAAACTTCTGAATTCTGAAGAATCCCGTCTGCATTTTTCGTGGCAATCGCTAACGGATCTTAATGACGACAAGTTAAAAAGTACATTTTGACATAAAAAATATAAGAGTTCTCTCCATCAAAAATAGACCACTTAGACAGACGACATAACTTTATACTTGGACCAGTGCCAGTAGTTAATTTAAGACTCTATTGTCTCGAAACAACATCTCAATCAAATTTTATAAATTATGATTCGGCCTTAACAATTTTTTCATTTTTAGATTCATAATATGTTCCCGCTGTGACATTAGGTACAATAAGCTGAATGGAAGCAAAAATTATTTACCTTTGTCGAGAACCCCCTATCGCAGACGGTGCATTTGAATGGCCGCTCTTTTGTGTGACTCCTGTAGTGGATTTCCAAGGCTGAATGGCATGCAAAGGTCTTGAAGCAAAGGTTACAGGTAGTGTTACCACGCCCTAGAAAATAATTACATGTTAAGGTCTCAATAAAAATCCCTATTTTTGATAACAGACAAACAGAATTATAACATAAAATAATCGAAGTAGGTATTAGTTATTTACCTAACAAATGCGGAAAGTGATACTTTACCGCACGCAACGGCAGTTGACCGAACGACGCGGAGCCGAGTTCGGTCAAGCCGTTAAGGGCGGTAAAGGCACTTTCCGCATGTGTTAGGTACAAAATTTTACCTATGAGCATCTGCATCTCTAAAAAAAGGCATTGATAAAATTAAATATTGAATCAGATTAATTAATGAAATTAGATTAGATATAGAAATGATCAAAAATCCATTTTCTGAAAAAGAGAGGATTTCTGATTGAAAATATTAAATTTTACTTTACCGCGGTAAAGTGATACTTTCCATTTGCAAAAACGTGCGGTAAAGTGCACTTTACCGCACGCTCGTAGGTAAACTAATAAATAAGTCACCTCTTAAAAAGTTGAGAATATAGATAATACAAAATATTCTTACCTAAACTTGCTCCAGGTCCAACAGCCAATCGCAAAGGGCTGAACGAGGTGGAAGTGAGAACAGACGAGGTTAACGACGACAGTGCTGAGGTCATGAGCGGCGAAGAGTTTTGCGAAACTTGGGGCAAAAGTCCGAAAGCAGAAAAGAGTGACGGGGGAGGTCCAGGACTCGGTCCAGGACTCGCACTGGGCAGCGGTTGATTCGGATTTTGTTTAGGCGTCAAATCTAAGGCCCCCATTGAATTGCAGTCCGACGGTGCTGGACTGCTGGCTTGTTGCGAGGAAGGCGGCCTAGGCATCTAAACATAATCCAAAAATCAAATAAATTTACTAAAAAACAATTCAAAATAATACTTACATGGACGGGTGTAGTTGTCATCCGGTTTTGTGGCGACTGAATTTCGCTGCCCTCAGGACTAGTCACTGAACGATTAGGAGATTTTTCGCCGTTCTGCATACTAGGGGGTGGCGACATTGGTCGATTGCAGCTCAAGTCTTCAGTTGAACAGTTCAAGTCACTATTTGTAAACTGCGAAACGTTAGGATTGATATGGTTGTTGCTTCCCGAGGGAGAGGAAGAAAAAGGTGGCATATTTTGAATATCGGTAATAGCACTCATGTTATCATCATCGTCATCGTCATCTTCCATACTTTCATGTTCCGACCTTCCGTCTTTGTCAAATTTCATTTGAAAAGGCATTCCATGTCCTAATGGAGATAATCCGGGCAGTGGAAATCCTTGACCTAGGAATGGATGCATGTTTGGAAAAGCACCTGGTGATGGAAAGTCTTTAACTTCTGCAGCTGAAATTTGTTCGGGTGTGAGATCAGTAGGTTCGCCTGTATGTAGACGGATATGTTGCTGTAGAACTAAGGCATTGGTAAACTTCTTATGGCAAACTGGACATTGGTGGAGCACTCGCATTGGTGGCTTGGCCCTGTGCACTCCCATATGAGTTTTTAAATTACCTTTAGTCGTAAATGCGCGGCCACATATTTTGCATTTGAAAGGCCTTTCTCCTGTATGGGTTCTATAGTGCATTTGCAAAGCACTTTTACAAGATAAAACTCTATGACAAATCACGCATTGATTTGGATCAGAAAGTTTGTGTTCAATATTATCTACAAGTTGCTGAAGTTTACTAGTTTCCGAGGTTTTGGTGACTTCTATTAAACTTTCCCAAGAGTTATCATTGCTTCCTGGCCTAGGCAGTAAATTAGTGTAAATTGCAGGATCTTTTGTGATATCGTGTAGTTGTGTGGTGGGAAAATGTCCTAAACTTCCAGAAGAAGTACTGCTAGGGGGCGAGTTTTGTTGTCCAAAAGAAAAATTTGCAGGCAACCTTTGTCCTGTGGCAATACTTAAAGGTGTTGACATTATATTAGATCTGCTAGATAGATTTTCTGGCTCGTCTTGCATTTCCGATCTATTATCATCAGGGCCATTCATATCTTCTTCATTACTAAATCGACTATCATTGCTACAATCATCAAATGCATTCGGAGACCCATACCTCTCAGGCTCAGTTATATCGTGGTCAATTTCAATATCATTTGGCTCTTGCTTTGGAGTAACTTCAGACATTTTATTGTCTTGTTTACGCTCCTCAGTATCTGACTCAGTTTTCATTGGACAACTTTCACGTATAGGTGAAGGAGATCTGTGAGGCTTTCGCAAATCAGCTGCAACTTCTTGTTCTTCACGTTTAATAAATAACGGATGAGGATTGAATAATCTATGAGGAGGTGTGAGAGATGTCGGTTGAAGTCTACTATTTAATAAATCTGGTGGGGGTGGAATTGGGGGACGATAAAGAGGCAAAGATGTGGGTGGAAATGGAGGCGCTCCAGGAAAACCTAAATGGGGGGGATGTGGAGGTCCGCCAGGTGATAAGGAAGGTTGCTGACCAAGTTGCGCCAATAAAGGAGGGTGATATTTATCTAAATGTTCAGGAACTGGATTTGGATTCATTTTGATATGCGGAAATTTTTGACTATGTCTTTGGAAATGAACTTTAAGATTACCTTTTGTTGTAAATCTACTACCACACACATTGCACTTATAAGGACGTTCTCCGGTATGGGAACGAATATGAATTTGTAAGGCCGAATCGGAGCCGAACACTTTTCCACAATATCTACAGCGATGTTTGAAAAATGGCTCGTTTCTTCCTTTGGAGTCATATGGAGACATTGAACCTTTACTTTTCCTAAATGCTAATTCATCAGCTAAGTTTGTTGCTAGTAGGCCTTGGCTTGCGTTATCTAAAACTTCTTGGGCACGTTTTTGAAGCATTTCCAATGTATTTGGTTCTTCTTGTAAAGGTGGGTCATTGCTATGAGTTATTATTGTAGATGCCAAAGAAGATGATATGGAACACATTGGAGATTGAATTTGAAGAGGTAGATTGGATGCATGACTAATTTCCGGTTGTATTCGTGGTGACGGAGTACTACTACTGGCTTTAATGGGCACTTCAGATGTAGGTGGCGGCACTGGTATTGATGATTGTTCGATTATTGTTTCTTTATTAGGTCGAGGGGATTGAGGCATTTCTTCTGGTGAATTAGGTGCCTCATTTTCCGATGGTGGAGGTGAACCGCTTTGCTGTTCATCATCCTTATTTCTGTCTATTTGCAGCTGATGTTGAAGCTGATTTATTAGCTGCAGCTGCAGTACTTGTTGATGCTGCAAGGTGAATAAAGTGGATTGTAGAACGGCGAGTTCTTGTAAGGCGGTTTCGTTGTCAGTATTGTTCGCCATTGCTGTAGCTGCAAATTGCGCAACCGCCACTTTAGTGTTTTGTAGTGCTTCCAAAGTAACGTGCCCGGGAGCGGCTGGAGGTACGGGGAAAGGAAAACTGAGTTGATTCTCGTCCGGTGAACTTTCGTCGACACTATTATTGTTTGCGGCGTCTTGCCGGTGGCGCCGCATTCGCTCCAGCCTTTTACCGCCGATTTCTTCATCGTCCTCGTCATCTTCGGACACGACCATATCTTCCGGGTCGGAATGCGCACCGGGGTCGTCATGTTTAATCGCCTTTTTGTCACACTCGACTTTGTGCGTTAAATACTCGGGCAGCTCTGTGAACTGTTCTTGGCAACGTTGACACATAAGCACCTCGGGCAAGACTCCGTTGTTGCCTTCAAGGCCATCTGAAAACCAAATACCGGAATGAATAAAACGAGCTAACAAATACCGAAGAAGAAGCGAAGACGGCGACGACGGGCACGTCCGCTCGTTCGAATACATCGCGCGGTTGTAAACTGTTGGGTTGGGGTGGGAGCCTGACTAACATAGGTCGAGATATTATTAAATGAGATATGAAAGGAGTGGGGCACGAAATATGAAGGGGCTTCCCAGAGCAGGCGCAGAATATGACGAACGACCGGCTCGAAGGACCAGCCACGGCAGCGGTTATGACAGCTGGGGCGGCGTTTACCAATCATAAATAAAATTACACTTGTTGCTCTCTTATAATCCACGCCCCGTGAAATACGCCCAGAAATTTCATAACCATAAAGCATAACGCGGCAGTCGGAGTCGGTTCCCGTTAGGGCGAACGTATATGCCCTTAAAAAGGGATCCGTGATCGGAGCTTGAATGATTTAACGCTCGGATTACGCCCGGAGGTTGCGATTGTATCGATCTCTCGCAGCTTTTAATACGTTGTTTGGCCTACATTTTGCTTTCAACAATAAAAATATGACATAAAATCACGCAATGAAATTTACACTAGCAATTAAAAGATCTGAAGAGGCGAAGCCGATATCTTGTTTATATAAATTTATAATATGATTTAAATTCGGCAATCAAAATCGGGATAATTACCTAGTAGCATTTTGAGCCCCTCCTGTTCGGATTTGTATTGGTTTATATAGTTGAAATTAAAACGAATTCGATGTTGAAATATAAAATTTAAATGTGGACGTTTGTATTAGAGGAGAAATTTAAATGTTTTACAAAAATAACTGAACATTGGGGTATAGTTAACAACGTTGACAATTTATATGATTCATGTAAAATGGATACTTTTAAGATAGATAGTAGTAGGAGTACCTAGATAAATGGGTATAGAGTTACATTACATGAAAGATAATATACCTACCTAATAGGGATTATAGGGATAATGAATGATTATAGGGATGATGATTTGATAGTTGAATATGAGCATATATTTATTGTATATGTGTTAAAATTAATTATTATTTATTCCTTTTTCCAATTTATAGGTATAAAGTATTTATTGATGTAAAAGCTGGTAATAAATTAATTAATTATGCAGATACAAATTATTATTTTGAAATTACATTACTCATTCAGGTAGGTATATGGACAAAATAATAAATTCACTCTATGATAAATTAATATCTATACATATAGGACTTTTTAAACAATTAATTGAAATTTGAAATCATTAATCAAGGTAATGTAAAAATAATTTTGTAATGTATCATACTACACAATTTGTTGATAAATACATGGTATCAGTTATTAAATTGAATATTATTTATCATCAGCAACCCTCTATATATATTCCCTTTTATTTCCGTTTATCGAGGAAGAAAATTCTTAATAAAACTTGAAGTAAAATCGATCGGTACATTATGTTATACCTATAGAAACGGTAGTATAACTTTTCCAAATTCAATTCGACCTGTGCGGGAAAGATATAAAAGGTTAGCGCGAAGTAGAGGCAGCTTTACGACGTTTCTTACAAAAATAGAATTTTCTGTTTATAAATATTTATATTCATTCTTGTTAGGTGGAATCGAACGTATTACCGCAAAGGTTTTGGGAGTTTGGCTTTTTGTTTAGAGGTAATAAATTCGGAAAGAAAAAAACATTTTTAATTATTTTAATTTCTCTCTATATAGAGGTGTATAAGTTGATACATAACTCAACCTAATTATGACATCAAAAAGATTATTTGATGCTCAATGGCATACAGAAGTTTGTATAAACTCCTTTTGAGGATAACATGTTACAGGGTGTCACGAAAGGTTTGTCGCAAACTTCTAAGGATGGTAGATCTCGTGAAAATTAAGTTTTTTTTTTCAATAAACATATCTCCGGAAATGCATCGTTTTCCAGATACAGGGTGTTAGACTTTGTAAATAAAAGTCAATTTTTTTATTAATTCTCAGAAATGCGTTGGACGAATTTAATGAAATTTTCACAGTTTATTGACATCTTTATGGGGTATCTTTTGGACAGCTCAGAGTTGACCTAATAATTCGAGGGACGTGCCCACAGGTCATGTCGGATGGTTTTTAGCACGAAAAACATCGCCCAGTATATTTATTTCTAATTAGGATATGTCTTCTAGATAGAACACTTAAAAATACAACGTTTTTGTCTCTAAATTTTTTTCCGTATGCTGCTTCGTTTTCAAGTTAAAATTCGAAAACCATTTCAGGCGAACCACGAACTCCATAAAAAAAAAAATTGGTTTAGAATAACCTGAAATCTAACCAGTTTATTTTTTGCTCAAAAATAAACAAAAAACAAAAAGAAAGAAAAGATCTAACATCCCTTGAAGTTTGTGTCAAACCTTTCGTGACACCCTCTATATTACATATCAAGTACATACAATTATTATCTCTCAAACTTTTTAAACACTTCATAAAGTATTTTGAATTATAGTCTGTTTGGAAATGCGAGACTATCGCAAATCAATGTCATAACCGCCTCGCCATAGGCGTCCTATATACTATTCGAATAAGTTAATATTAAATTTTAAAATGTATAGGGATAATTGTATATGCATAAAAAATGCGTCTATGATTAGAATAAGAGGTATGTTCTGCCATGTCTCGACTGAAACATGACAATAATAATATCTCTCACTCTCTCTTAACGCTTATATTATGCATATCGCTGTACATCTATTATTGTTATTAGTCAGGTATTGACTGGGGTATAAATATTCTATTAAAACTTGGTGGTAGGTATATGGGATTGATTATAGGTAAGTGTAGGTACCTACCTATACATATACCTAAACTACAGGTAGGCATTAAATAGATTATTCCATTTTGAGTACCTGATCAAGATTTTGAGAATCTACTGAAAAATGGCTGGTGCGCAAGTTCTCCCGAATTTTTTGCTGTTAAAAGAATTTAATCAGTAATTATTGTCCTTTTACTCTTACAGAAAAGGGAATTATTTCGAATGTGTACAACGTTCTTGACCACCAACATCCTCAAGTTACCGTTGTTAGAATTACTGAAATGTGTTCAAATATGGCGGCAGTTAATCTGAAAAGTGTATACAGGATTGTCAGTGAATCAAAAAATGGAAATTTCACTTCTCCAAAAACATCACCGGGAAGAAGAAAAATTGTAATTGAAGAACAGGATAAACATGCAATCAGAAGAATAGTTCATTCAGTTTATTTTAAAAAAGAGATTCCTATATTAGACAAAATTCATGCACAGGCGCCGGAATTTCAAAATTACTATGGGAAAAATCCTTAAAGCTCCGCCACAGGCGCGAAATTTTCGTAATTTCACGGTATTTTTGGGACGTATTTTGAAAAAATAAAATAAACTGAACTGAAATTTAGGAGATATTTGGGATCCCCTTAGACCGCTATGCGACAAAAAAGATCAAAACCGTCTTTATTTTTATTTTTTTCAAATTTCAAAGCATCCTAGTGGGAAAACGAAGAACCTGGAAGAAAAACCTTAAATACAAAACTTGTAGGTCCCATTGGGAACTACAAAAAAGCTTATTAGAGTTACTCCTCCACGAGGCATCGTTTTTGAGAAAATCGACTTCAAAACTTTCGATACATTTTCACCTCCGCCCCATAGAAAATTTACCATGGGGCTAAAGCCCCGATTGCCCCCATGGTTCCGGCGCCTATGTTCATGCAGTAGTTAAGAACGATAAAGATTTACCCGAGGGGTAAACCGCAAGGGAAATCTAGTGTAAAAATTGGGAGAAATCAGGGGAAATCAAGAGAAAATTAAGAGGAAATCAGAGGAAATCAAATGCAATCAGGGGAAAATTTAAGAAAATCAGGGGCAACCTCAAGGAAATCGGGAGAAATCTTAAGTAAATTATAAGAAATCTCAAAGCAATCAGTCAATTTCTAGATCTAACGCGTGCGCAGTTTTCAAAAATATTTAGAAATTGAGGTTATGTTATGTTTTATTATATCCATTATCAAAATAAAATTATAGGTGCTCGGTTACGTGTGTTGTACTTCATGTATAAGTTATAGCGCAGAGTCCAGGTAAGTAGCATTAAAAAATTTAGCTTTTATATTGAATTAAGCAGACCCAACAAGTGGGGGGGAGTAGTCTTAGACTATATAGGTACCTACAATTGACCGAATTCAAACTGTACACAATATAATGACTGATCTAAATCATGATGAGTTAGGGGCGCATATACAGGGAGGGGGGGTAATTAACCCCCCCCCCCCCCCAGAAAACTAGACAATTTTTAACCTACTTAAATTTTTAGTTTTTATGCTGAAAATATAGAAAATATATTGTGAAAACAATTAAAATATTACTAACGGCAGTAACTTTTTGTGCGATATGGCAGCAGCGCTTTTTTACTTTTGTCCTCTTTATCGACGTCAAGTGTCTGTCACTCGGCGCCGCGACACTTAGGGTCAGTTTCAGTAGCGAATCACCTCTGGGTTGGTTTTAACTCCAGGGTAAACGTGTCTTAGGGCCGGTTTTTCAATAGCAGGTCCCCTCGGGGTTAAGCATAACTCCAAGGTAAACAAAGCAACTGGACAAGTTCAGCCTGGAGTTAAAACTAACCCGGAAGAGACTCGTTATTGAGAAATCGGCCCCTACGTGTCCAGTTGCAATGGAGTGGTGCTTAACCCGGTGGTGAATTGCTATTGAGAGACCGGCCGTTAGGGCCGAATTCATAGTTGCTTTTTTAGGTTTCCTCAGACCTCAAGGAGACCTTCAACGTTTAGAATTGACATGACTAACTTGTCACAAGTGTCCATTCTAAATTCACGACCTTTGAAGGTTCCTGAAAAATACTTTTAGCCATCCTAGCAACCCGAATCTTGAATTTGCAGATCTCATTATTCTCATTGAGAACTAGAAAAAAGCTTATGAGAGTTATCCCTCCACGGGAACAACCTGGGATATCAGTATGAAACAAATTTGTAGGTAAT